AGCGGGGGGCGGCGGTCCCCTGACACAGCCCCCGGAGCGGCCCCTGCCCCAGCTCACAGTGCTGGCACCCTGGGCCTGTCCCCAACAGTGGCTGTGCAGCACACGGGCCTCGTAGGTCACCTGGCTGCACCATGCAAGGAGGAGAAGGAGGAGGAAGGTCAGACAAGCTCGTGCCACTTGCCAGGGGCTTGCGTGCTATAATGCCAAAGAGCTCCCCAGGGCTGAGTCACCCTGAGGGCGAGTGAGGCCACGTGATCGGGGGATCTGCTGGCCTTGGAGGACCTGCAGCAGTGTTTGTGGGAAGGGACTGCCAGGGCCCCTCGTCCCCAGGCTGTCGCTGGCACCAGATCAGGGCAGCTGAGTCCCACCGACTCCTGCCCTCCCTGAGGACGGAGAACCCCCAACTCCCAGTGACCTCTCCCTGGGCTGCACTCACACCCTGGGGAAGCGGTGGCTTCAGGGCCCCTCCCCAAGCCTCCCGACCCATAATTTGGGGGCACCGTCTCTCCTTCCACTGTCTGGCACCACCTGGAAGAGCTTGGCTCCATCCTCCTTGAACCTGCCCTGGGTGATCACTCCAGGGCCTCCCCTCCAGCAGCCCCATGGGGCCCAGCTCCACCACTTCCTACCTAGGCCCCAGCCATCTGGGAGCATCCTCTGGTCCCTCTCTGGTTTCTGCATGCCCTTTTGGATGTGAGGAGCCCAAAACTGGAGGCGGCATTGCTGGTGCCTCCACTGGGGGATATCAGCCTCCCTCGATCTGCAGACCACGCTCCTCCTAACTGCCTGGCACACAGACTGCTTCATGTGCCACGAGAGCAACTGCCGGCTCAGGTTCAGCCTGGCATGACCAGCACCCCCGGAGCCTTTTCAGCAGCACCCAGCTTAGCCCACGGGGCCCAGCCTGCATCGATGGGTTATCCTGCCATCCAACGCAGTAAAGCATCCAGTCCTGAAATAACCCCCAACGTCATTAGAAAGATGGTAACGGTAACAGAGAGCCTGGCCCCGGTGCCACAGCAAGGGGCAAGCAGCAGCTCCCCTGTGCCATCGAGGAGCAGCGTCTGCCCAGGGGGCCAGAGCGCCCCGGGTGCCCCCTGGCAGCCCCCGGACCCCGCTCCAGCCGGATGGGCGCTAGGAC